CATTTAGTATAGCTCCTCTGGATAATTTCCCTGTCTTAAGGTCAGTATGTCAGGTAATACACCCTAGTCACAGAAGTGAAGGCCAGCCAGTGATTATGCACTCATGTACACCTCGAGGCAGAAAATCTTGGGTGCCATTCTGCCTACTACACCTCCTATCCCTAAATCTGACTTCAAAGCCCATGTTCTTCCTGCTACCCAAAGCTGCTTGATAATATATGGAGACCGAGATCGCTTGGGGCTGACAATACGATGTCAATAGATGAAAGACAGACATGAAACTCTATCACTTCTGTTCTGTTTCCATGACTTTTGTTGAAAAGAACGTTCTGTGAATCCCAGCATGTATTAGGTGCTCAATAAAGAGGGCTGAATGAATGAGGGATTGGACAGAGGAGACTGCTGGAAGACTTAATGCGATAAGTAAATAGATTTTAAATGAAGACCTAATTGTGTTAATTGAGATTCTCTGTAGTTCTAGGTGAATTATATTTCTAAGCCCTGAGAGAATAACAGTGAGATTTCTGCAAAATCAACTCAACTCAATATATGTTCCTTGAATGAATGAGTGAACCAATTTATTTTGTTTGGTGATTCTCTGACTACAGGACTAGAAAGCCTATCAGAAAAAATTTAAAACCCCAAAACTAATTTGGCAGCATATATTTGTTCTTGATGATACTACAGGGAAACTCTTAGAGATAATCTCTCCGACATTTCATTAACTATTAACCATTAAAAACTTTTATTATTATTATTATTTTCTTTTTGAGATGGAGTCTCACTCTGTCACCCAGGCTAGAGTGCAGTGATGTGATCTCAGCTCAATGCAACCTCCGCCTCCCTAGTTCACACCATTCTCCTGCCTCAGCCTCCCAAGTAGCTGGGACTACAGGTGCCCACCACCACGCCTGGCTAATTTTTTGTATTTTTAGTAGAGACGGGGTTTCACCATGTTAGCCAGGATGGTCTTGATCTCCTGACCTCGTGATCCGCCCCCCTTGGCCTCCCAAAGTGCTGGGATTACAGGCATGAGCCACCATGCCCAGCCCACAAGTATTATTAAATAATAAATTATTAAAGATATAAATTCTAAATTGTGGGTTTGAGCAGTGCAAATGACCTTATATTAAAACACATGAAACATTTTTCAGCCAAAGTAGAATGCAAAGCTCTTAAGGCAAGATTATGTGTTTATTTTGCTTTGTGTGTGTATGTGTGTGTGTTTTGACACAGGGTCTCACTCTGTCACCCAGGCTGAAGTACAGTGGTGCCATCATTGCTCACTGTAGTCATGACCTCCTGGGCTCAAGTGATCCTCTCACCTTAGCCTCTTGAGTAGCTGAGTGAGACTATGGTTGCACATCACCATGCCTGGCTAATTTTTTTATTTTTTGAAGAGACAGGGTCCCACTATGCTGCCCAGGCTGGTCTCGAACTCCTGGCCTCAAGTGATCGTCCCACCTCGGCCTTCCAGAGTGCTAGGATTACAGGCATGAGCCGCTTCGTCCAGCCTATGTGTTTACACTGTACTTTACTAAACTTCTATTTACATACACACACACAAGTGCTATGCATTCTGTTCAATCAAAATTAGTTATATTTTTTTTCTGTGACCTTACATAGATTCAATTCCAAAATACATGATTATAATAAATCTCCATTTAATTACACATGAAATATATTCATCATTAATCAGTTATAATCTGAGTAAATCCTTAAATAATTCTTTTTAATTTGTGAATGTATTAAGGTGTCAATATACCACGAAAAAGTGCAATATGAGTACTTAAATCTCCTTGTCATAGATGCATCTTTCTTTAGTTAAAAGAATATGAAAGGTATTTTAGTATATCTAAAGCTTTTCTCATCCTGTATGGTATGTTCTTTAAAATAGTAAAAGTATTATAGGTGCTTTCGTCATTGCAATAAATTAATAACTATCAGAAGTCTATCATGAACAGAACACTACTTAGACTAGTGCAACAAAAACAAACAAACAAAAAACCGAGGTACTTGAAATGCTACCTGTCTTCTGGGAATATACATAAAATTTACATATAAGCATGTGTATTAGTCCATTCTCACACTGCTATGAAGAAATACCCGAGATTGGGTAATTTAGAAAGGAAAGAGGTTTAATAGTTCTGCATGGCTGGGAAGGCCTCAGGAAACTTACAATCATGGCAGAAGGCAAAGATGAAGCAAGACACCTTCTTCACAAAGAAGTAGGAAGGAGAAATATGACAGCTGGGCAAAGTGAGGAGCCCATTAAAAAAACCATCAGATCTTGTGAACACTTACTATCACGATAACAGCATGGGAGAATCAACCCCATGACTCAATGACCTCCCACTGGGTCCTTCCCACCATAGGTAGGGACTATGGGAACTACAATTCAAGATGAGTTTTGGGTGGAGACACAGCCAAACCATAGCAGCATGTATACTACCAAAATAGAAAAGACACTACCTAGTATGTGATAACATAGTACTAAGACACCTTGAATTCTAAGATACATCCCAAATTCTGAGACGTTAACGATGAAAATACAACCCATCTTAACAGTTTTCATACATATGTACTATATATCTAAGGCAGAAATTGTACATGTGATATTCTCGATCTTAGTCTACCTATTTTTTAAATGATGTTATGGGTTTGCTAAATTAATTTTACCACCCACTAATGGGCTGACCTGATCTAAACACTAATCTACATCATGTATCACAGATAATTAAAAACCTTGTTAACATATACAACCAAGGTGCTAATTGCTCAATTCTATAGTGGGTACAGAAGAAGAAAAGACAGTTGAATATGGACAGAAACTACCTGGAAAGTTTTCAAATTAGAAAGAAGAATTGAGCCTTGAATATATGGGTAAAATATGGTGTGATAAAAAAGTAAATGGTTGAGAAGTTTAAACTGGGGGAAAAACCCTCAGATGTAAATGTAAAAAAATTCCTTTTTCTTTAAAAATAAAATCTAACCTTTTAGCATTATTTTTAAAATATATAAGAACACCATTTTGTATAATAAAAGTCTCAATAATTTCAAAGATTAGAACAAATTTTAATGTTTTGCCTACAGAAAATATACAGAATTCTGAAAAATTAAATACAGCTTCCAAAGAATGAAAATATACAAAATTGATTTAAACAGAACTTGATACAATATTTGTTTTATACCCTTGTTATAAATTCAAAAGGGGTCAAATAGTCTAAGAGCAAAATGATAGCAGCCTGAAAACAAGTGGCTGTATATTCCCCCACCCCCAGTTTTTCTGTGCTTCTCTTATATTCAAAGATTAATGCAAAAACAAAATTTTGGAATCCCCTCCTTGCTGACCTCTGTACACATTACAAAAAAAAAAAAAAAAATTCCTAGGATATAATGAGGTATACAGCACAAAACTGGCCGGCTGAACTCCTCAGTGGCTCCCCTGCATTCACCCTCAGAATTTCTCTCTCCTCCTGGCAAAAAGTAAGCAAACAAACACAAATCCAGAAATCTATTTTGTACGTGTATGTAAAATGTGCACACCACAGTGCAAATATGTGATTATAGTTTTTAAATGTGAACGCTTGGCAGTTAGGAAATGTCACTGTAATCTTTAGGTGAAAATTCAATTCCTTTGATGAAGATACCATCTTTGAGCCAAGCCCTGACAGAAAACCTTTGGTTCCTGTTAGACCCCTCCCTTCCCAGTCAGCTGCTGGGCTCCATCCGGAGGGATGGAGGCTCTCTCCCTCCATCACAGCTAAGCGTTCCCAGACCCAGGAGAAACCCTGGATTCCTGCAGAGCACTCGACGTGCAGCAAAGTGTCCCAGCTCTGCAATGGGCAGCTGGAAATGGATTTAAAATGGCAACGCGGACCAATCAGCGCTGCCGCGCCAAAGCAGACATTTACACGCGCCTCCTCCACATGCACAGGGGAACCTGGCGGTGCCTAACTCCTGCTTAGGGCTGCAGAGTAGGCGTTTTTATTCCACGGTGGTCTGTATCTTTGAAAAAAATAAATTCTTCCCCAGGTGAAAGTTTTTATTTTGGAATTAGTCCAAAATAATTTTGGGTGTGATGTGTGAAAATCTGAACCTAATTTTTTCAGAGTTTTGTGTTATTCAAGGATGAAAAGTGGTACATTTAAAAATGTACTCCACCTTTTAAAAACGGACTGTGGCCATTATGGTGTTCACATAATTCAGAAACAGCTCAGGCTATAAAATTAGGACTTGGCAGAAAGAGTTCTCAGGCAGAAGGTTAAATCGAGGTAAACTGAAGGGAGAGTTGGGCAGTGAGTGCAATTGTGGTGTTAGGAATCTACAAGGTGCCCTTTACTCTGCGAATGTCGGATCCCCGGGGAGGGGGATGGGGAGGGAACTTCGATTGCCTCTAGTCTTTCCTGGAGAAAAAAGTTCAATGAAGAAGCTGGCGCGCTCTGTGTGTGCACATTGCTTGCACGTGTCTGCGAATGTGCATGTCTATCTGCGTGCCTGTGTGTATGTGTGTGTGCGTAAATGCGTGTGTTTACGAGCGCATGAGTGCCCCGTGTCCACGTGTATCTGCGTGCAAGTGTGCATGTGCTTACACGCGTGTTCGTGTGTATCTGCATGCATGTCTCCGTGTATGTGCGCGCTCGCCCGCCCGCAGTCTCTGTGGTGAGGGCATTCTGCGGCGGAGTAGGGCTGTCAGGGCCCCTCTCCCACTCCTCTGCAGTCCCTTCCCGCTCACAGTGAACCGGAGCGCTGCCTGGGGTGCAGCCTAGACGCTTCCTGCAAAGTGTTGGCTCGGGACCGTAGAGGTGCAGGTAAAGGCCAGCCCCGAAACGTGGCTCGGGGACAGTCACGTTCCCGCGCCTTCCCAGGACAACCGCCCAGGGGTGACCTCGAGAGGCGGGTGGGGCTAGGCCCACGGCGAGCCAGTCCGGGATCCCCGGCCTGTCCCTTTAACCCCGCCGACGGGCGGGAGCACGTGAGCGGGGCTCCGGGTGGCACCCGGGCGCCGCCGCCGCCGAGGCAGTTGTATTTCGAACGCTGCCTCTGGCTAGCAGCCAGGCGCCTTGGCTCGGCGGTCCGCCTGGCCTCCCTCCTCCTCATACTTTTCTTCCTGCGCAACCCCCTCCCCTTTATCCGCCCACGATTAGAGGTGGGCACTCCCCCCCTTCCACCACCCCCTCCCCAAGCGCAAGCGCGCGCACGCACACACACCACACACACTCACACTCACACACACTCACACACACTCATCCCACTTGAATCTTGGGGCAGGAATTCAGAAAACTTCCAGCCCGGGCAGCGCGCGCTTGGTGCAAGACTCAGGAGCGAGCAGCCCGTCCCCCTCCGACTCTCCGGTGCCGCCGCCGCCTGCTCCCGCCACCCGAGGAGGCGCGGTGCCACCCACTGCTCTGTCCTCTGCTTCTGCTCCGTGCCCGACCCTATCCCGGCGGAATCTCCCCATCCTCCTTTGCTTTCCGACTGCCCAAGGCACTTTCAATCTCAATCTTTCTCTCTCTCTCACTTTCTCTCTCTCTCTCTCTCTCTCTCTCTCTCTCTCTCTCTCTCTCTCGAGCGGGGTGGGGGGAAGAGGAGGAGGAATTCTTTCCCTGCCTAACATTTCAAGGGACACAATTCACTCCAAGTCTCTTCCCTTTCCAAGCCGTTTCCGAAGTGCTCCCGGTGCCCGCAACTCCTGATCCCAACCCGCGAGAGGAGCCTCTGCGACCTCAAAACCTCTCTTCCTTCTCCCTCGCTTCCCTCCTCCTCTCGCTACCTCCACCTCCACCGCCACCTCCACCTCCGGCACCCACCCACCGCCGCCGCCGCCGCCGCCGCCACCGGCAGCGCCTCCTCCTCTCCTCCTCCTCCTCCCCTCTTCTCTTTTTGGCAGCCGCTGGACGTCCGGTGTTGATGGTGGCAGCGGCGGCAGCCTAAGCAACAGCAGCCCTTGCAGCCCGCCAGCTAGCGCTCGCCCCGCCGGCGTCCCCAGCTCTATCACCTCATCTCCCGAAAGGTGCTGGGCAGCTCCGGGGCAGTCGAGGCGAAGCGGCTGCAGCGGCGGTAGCGGCGGCGGGAGGCAGGATGAGCGCACGCGGTGAGGGCGCGGGGCAGCCGTCCACTTCAGCCCAGGGACAACCTGCCGCCCCGGCGCCTCAGAAGAGAGGACGCGGCCGCCCCAGGAAGCAGCAGCAAGTCAGTACGCTGGCGCGGTGGGGGCACCAGCCCACCCCGTCCCCACTGCAGGGGCCCAGACACGCGCGGGGCGGCCGGAGCGCGGGAGCCCAGTCGCCGCGGCCGTCGCACGCTGCCCGCCCGCCGGCTGGGGGGAGCGGCGCAGACCCCACGAGTGTGCCGAGCGGCCCCGGGGCGCCAGCAACCCTCTGGGCGGGGAGGTGGGGAGCTGCGGCGGGCTGCCCGGGGAAGGCTGGAGGTGGGGTCGGGCGAAGCGCGTCCTCGGACTTTCGCTATTGTGCACCGCCCCGAGTGGCGCGGTGTCGCCGGGTGACTGGAAGCGACCGGGATCCGACAAACCCGGGCTCGCAGGCGCTTTCCGAGCTGCTTTTGCAACTGCCGGGGAGGAAGGAGGTGCCGGGGACCCGGGCGCTCCGGCCGATCTGGGCTGAAGGGGTTAGAGTCCTGGGGGCCGGAGGCTGTTTCTCCCGCCTCCCGAGGCTGCTCGCGGGTCGGGGGCTGGCGCGCCGCAGCCGCCCCCTTGGCGCCCTCCTCCAAGCTCTCGGTGGCCCAAGACTCGCGCCCTCCCGACAAAGAACGCATGGAGAGCCGGCCGCCTGGTCCTCTTCGGGCTCTTTAAATGTGCGGCGGCCGCCGGAGGGAGCCCGGGGCAGGGGCTACGGGGAGCCTGGCTCCCCGCGGGACGGGGTTAACTCGCCCAGCCAAGGGCGCGTTGAAAGGAGTGTCCGAGAGAGTGCAGGGTAGCCAGGGTCGCTTCCTCGTCAGGCGCCGGGTCCCCCTTTTGCCTCTGGATCCCGCGCCTCAGAGTTGCAGCCATTAAATGCTCTTCTCCAAAGCCAGTGGCCTGGGGTTGAGTAGGGGACGATCGAGGGGCGCCCGGGACCCAGCAGAGTGGAGGGTTTTGTCTGCGGATGCAACCAATTAAGCGTGCAGCCGGCGCTTGCAGAGCTGCGCCTAGCGCGCAGGGCTGGGGGTTTTGTTCGCTGTAATTTCCAAGCCGCGGCGGGCAGGGTCGGAGCGGGATAAGTCTATTGAGAACATTAAACTCCACTTTCTCGGGCTTTAAAACTTGCTCGCTCCTTAGTCTTAAATCGCTTCCTTCATGGCAAACACGCCGATTAGAAAATAATCCTAGAGTCCCAAAGTTGCCTGAGAGCAAGGTGGGGAAATTGAACAATGTTTGCTTGCCAGAGAATTTTAGAAAAATTGAGAGTTTACCTTTTCAAAATCATCAAAGGAAACAAGCCTATCTAGAGGCCCCTGAGTTTTCCCGCTCTGCCCAAGCGACACTTTACATCGCATTTGAATCCTGTTTTACACCTCCCAGGAAGTCTCTGCCCTCCCCCACTTGTTTCCCACCCGACACCCAGCTCCAACTGACTAATTGCACCCCCCTCCAAAAAAAAAATCCAAAAGAAATTACAATGGGGTCTGGAGGTGATTGGATACTTTACCTTTGAGTTAAGGCAGAGTTCACAAAGAAAGAAAAATGTGTCTCCGATGTGTTTGCTCTCGATGTGCCCACTGGCGCTAGTGGTCCCACAGAAGCTTGCAGGGGACCTTCCCCGAATTATCTAAATGGGATGCGAATTTTCATTGAGGACGTTCATGGGTTTTAAGTTAATTAGTCTCACTTAATCACCGAATCTGAATGAAATGTGAATAGATGATTCACTGGATAAATATTTGGGATCTGGAATATTAATCATCGCATTCTCTTAACCACTTGAGTATTTACTACTTGGCATAGGAGCCATTTAAAGTTTTGCTAAACCTAGTGATTGCTTCCATTTCTCATTCCCAGACACTCCATTCCTCCTCGCTTTTACCCCCTTTTAGTTTTCTCCACTCCACCCCCATAAGAGTTTTCTTAAAAGAAAGTTTTGAAGAAAATATGTTTATTTTTATCAAAAGATATTTAAATGTAGACTGGAGACCATGCCTGCATCTCCAAAAGGAAGTGGAGAATTGAAGCAATTAACTAGATAATTCAAGCAAAACCTCCCACAATAGATTTACTATAATTATTTGGAAATTTTAGGGGGAATGGAGTTATTTTGAACTGAAGAACTTGAATAATTCCTCCAGTATTTCACTCAGAATGTGTCAGTTGAATCATAATCCACCTAGAAGGCAGGTATACAAAGATGATTAAAAGCCACCTTTTCAATATGGAAGATTGTTGAAATATCTATGATGTTAGCTTCATATTTCTATTGTTTGAAATGGAGAGTGATGTTCCTTTAAAATGCTTATTATTCCTGAGTCGCCAAATGCATAGCCCTGTAAACTTTACACCTTAAAAGTATATGACTTTCTTTCTAGAACATGCCTCTTCAGTCTCTGTTACCATTTTAGGTTTGAAGTAGAATCTAGTTTTCATATACAAAATAGGGTTTCCTCTTTGAACCCTTGGATTAAAAGTATAGTTATTTCCCCTTTCTGTAAACTCTGTACCATCATCATCCATTTATGCTTGAACTGAAAGTGTTCCAACAGCTCTTTTGAGCAGCACATGCAGAAAATATAGCTAAAGAGTCAGGGTCAATTTCTTTCAGACATTCTTGCCACAACAGCATTTTTTTTTTCCCCCTCACAATTAGGAACCAACCGGTGAGCCCTCTCCTAAGAGACCCAGGGGAAGACCTAAAGGCAGCAAAAACAAGAGTCCCTCTAAAGCAGCTCAAAAGGTGAGATTTCTCGAGTCAAGCTCTCCTAACTTCATCAATGACTACAGGAGCCTCCCTGTAATTTTCCTATTCTAACTCCGCACCTAGGAATTTGTCCCAACTGGGTAACACAGACTCAATTCTTACATTTAACATTAATTAGATGCGAGTTAGCCTTTTTTCTAAGCAGATGCTCAGCATAAAAAGTTTATGAAGATACTTAACAGTGTTGTTTTTAAACAAACAGCCACCAAATAATTTGAACCTTAAAACGGGTAGAAGTGAGGAAGGAAGGCAGGGGGGAGGGGAAGGTGGAAAATGACACAACTAATATTTGCACTAGTTGTAAGTAGTTAAAAACAAATCAAAACTATAGATTTTGCCTGGTGGTAAAGTTTTTGCAATTTCTTCTGAAAAATGATAGAGACTGATTTACTTTGTGCTTATTACATGGCTACTGCAAACCAAATCCCCCTATTAAAGTACTTTGCCAAATAGATGATAATTAGAAGTAAATCTAGTTGTGGGATAATGGAAAAATTTCATGAATTTTACAGCTTTAATTGTGATAATAAAGTATACTGCTTGTTTTACAATAAACCTGCAGTATAGTATATCATAATCTCAAAAAGCCTTTTCATCAAGTGACATAGAAATGTCTGAATTGGACAATGAGACTTTTTAAAACAAATATTTGGCTCATTTAATATCTCTTTTTGGGCAAAACAGAACCCAGTTAAGTGTAACATTCAGTGTTTTTCTTAATAAATTTAAAGTTGCAGTTTAAGATAACTTCAGGCTGGCTATATTTAAGATTGCAAAGAGGAACTATGTCAGGGTTCATGCATGTATAGAGAAGTACCAGTCGCTTTTTTGACTTTATAAAATAAATTGGAAAAAAAAGTTTCCACATTTTATTTGTAGGTTTGTATAGTAATTGAGAACAAAGTTTCAAAAATCAGAACTAAATTTGGATATACCTTTTCAACGGGTTTAAATACATGTACAGTATTTGTTAGAAAGGACTATATGCTCATCGTTTGGGGATTAATGTTTTGTGTGGTTTTCTTTGTGACTGTGGGTACTAACTGTAATATATGTGCTAGTTTTCAGTGTTGTAAACTGCCATAGCAACTAATGGTACATATAAAGTTATTTAGGAAGTAACTATGAGTTCTTGTCTGTTTTAACAGTTGTGAACAGAGTTGAGGAGCATATTTTTAATATATTTAAATTTAATTGCTTCTTAGAGTTTAGATTTGATTGTGTTTCTTATTTAATCAATAAACTTTAAAATAGCTGTAAGTAACCTTGTTATTTAAAAATGGCAATATGTACTCCGGTATTTTTAATATGAATACTTTATATTTGTTTTATTTTACCTCGTTTATAAATGAACTAAAAAGGACTGATTTTACCAAGGAGTTTTTCTATGTTGCATAAGTGTGGAGTTTACCTAATTTACTTTTATTCTAAGGAGATGCACAAATAAATACTTGTTAGATAGCTAACACGCATTTAAGCTATGGTGTAGTTCCTCTGAAAAATGCAGCATGGTAGTATCTCCTAGGAAGAAATCTTTAAATTTCACCATAAATAAGTAATTTGAAATTTAATACTAAAAAGGAGAATGAATTGTCTCCCATATTTTACTATATTCCATGTTTTTTGGATGAATAGATAGAAATGCTCCCATCGCCTCCTCTTCATTTTAAAAAGCTTACCACTGACTAACAAAATTTGTATTGAGAAAAGGGAAGCTGAAACTAGTGCCTAGTTTACCACCTAAAGCAAAATTTTTAAAGTTGATCTATTCCTAAGTAAGGGTTGATTTATTTTTAGTGACTCTAGTGACAGGCGTTTGTAAATGAGCCCCCTAAGCCACTCATCTTTCTGAAAATTCTTCATATGTATGCATACATTATTCCAATTTCCAAAACAGAAGTAGGCTTTCTTTTTTCTAAAGATTCCTTCTCCAGAATCTTTCATTCTTTCAGACACAATTATTTCCAACAATGCTGTTATAAAAATCCCTCTTGTAATAAAAATGAATAAATACATTTGCCCATAACCTGACTTATTTTTCTTCAGTTTTATAAATTACACTTCATCTGGAGAAGAGAATACCTTGCAAAATAATGAATGACATTGATGAATCGTTCATGGCATGTGTAAACTTAAGGTATTTTCACTTTCAAATCAGAATTTGTTGAGTATGTTACTATTCTATATAAACATGATTTTCAAACATATTTGTTTATTAAGCATATATTGTGTTCTAACAAAACATATATGTTCATCAGGATTTTGAAATGCAAATCTTTTTAGAAAAAATTATATTGTTCATAACATGTAAGATAAACACACCCTGTGAGACTGACCAGAGTAGATATGAGAAGTCTTCTATGAGTAACAAAGTGGGTGTTTTCCTGTAAACTGAGACCCATCACAGTGCAACATACATTGCAAAGACTGGTAAGTATATGAGAAGAGAGAAGCCTAAAATTAGAGGAGTTGCAGTGCACACTGAAATCCTGATGGTTATATGCTTAAAATGTCTTGCTGCTTGGAGTTTCTTGACTTACAAAGTTTATATTTGGATTCAGTAACTGGCCTTGGGACATTTGAAAACAAAGCTGTTTATTAGAAAATTAACAGTGTGAAACTGGACAATGCATGCAGAACGTTGCAAGACCAAGTGAATGACTACTGAATCAGCCATCACTTTAATTAATATTCAGTAGAAAATTGATTTATATAATATGTAAAACAAAGACATTTATAAAAACACAATTTGCTATGCTTGGAACTTTTGGAAGAGAATTATTCTTCAATCTACTTAACATTCCATTAAAACGAACTACTATGCATGACCATTGTGTGATGATTCTAGTCATTCCTCAGAACTCCAATCTGAGTGCTCAAAATTTGTCCCTGAATCGGTTTCATATAGTTACCTGAATAAAAGAAAAGAAATCAGAAGTTAAAGTTTTCCTGAATAATTAATTTGTCCATGTGTGTATATGTCTGTGTGAGCATATCTTTACCCTTTTATTTTTAGTCTGAGATACACCTAAGACCAGTTATGTCTTAACCTCCTTTTTTGTTTTGGTTTGCTTTGCTTTCCTTTCCTAGGTTGTGCTGGATGGAACTCTTTGCATTTTTACAGTTCCCAAATGGTTAGAGAGAAAGAAGTTATAATCTCCTTTAGTTTAGGGTTTTGTTGTACTTTTTTAATCATGACAGAATACTGGAGGGGTTGTCACTAATTCTTCAGTGTTGAAGGTCTCAAGTCAAATTCATCCTTAAGTTTTAAGCCAATTCTCATTCACATATTTTAGGAAGTTTTTTTTCTGAGGTTGAATTAAATTTTATTGGAAGGTAAATGAAAATTTAAAAAAAAAAGATCTCAGGTGTGAGATAACCCTACTTCATCATGTCATATATTTGCTTTACCACCCTTATGACTTTAGGTGTAATGGGTAGATCTAGGGAGCAAAGTGCAGAATGAAAATATCTAGATATAGCAGCTATAGTTAAAATAACATGTTCAGAGTAAATGTTTAGTCTCTATGTTCAATTTGCTATAAAAAGAAGGCCTGAATTAATTAGATACTGTAAAGACTACTTCATGCTTCTTCTAATCATTTGCATTCCTAGAAATGTGGTTTGCCTTTCATAATCCTTACCAACACCAATCACAGGTATTTTAAGAAGAGAGAAGATAGGTTTTAGTCACCATTCAGATAAATCATTCAGCATAAATGCTGAATGAGGACAGAATTTTCTTCAGAATATAGTAGGCCTAGTTGAAAGGAGAAACACAAGGCATTATTATAGGTGAGTTAAGGAAAGGTAACATGGGCAGTTATCATATAATTCTGGCCTATGGTTTCTAAATTAAACTACTGTGATTTAGTTTAATTCCTCTGTATTTCAATGGGCAGGTAAGTTTTATTGGGGGATTCAGGGCCCTATCTGAGGATACAAATGAATTCAGGCAGATTCAGGGCCCTATCTGAGGATACAAATGAATTCAGCAGGTGAAATTAAGTAAAGCCCAACTGTTATTCCATTATCTTGATATTTCAGGCTGACTTACCTAAACAATTGACTCATTTTTTTCTTTCACTTTGCCAGGGAAGACAAAGCCTTACTTAATGCACCAGCACGTTCTATCTGGCAATGCTTTGAATCATCACAGATTATGATCCAAATATGGGAGATTGAAATACATTTGAATTATCTTACGAAGTAATTTTATTTCAAGGGACCCATAGTTCTACTTCTCTGGAAGCTCTCATCCTTCTGAACTCTTCTGAACTTGAAGGCTCCTCACTTCTCTGGCTGACCTACATTCCTGGCTCATTTTTATCTCAAGTTCTCAACAGATCATTTTGCTAAGGAGATAGAATATACCAGATTGGTATTCTATTGCATTTCAGTTCTTTCTCGAGAATAGATGGATGAAGAGCATTTTATGTCAGTTAAATCATTCAAAACTGTCTTGTCTTGTTAACTTTCTGCAGTTTCCAGAGCAGAAGGCACAAAGTAGAAACTGAATTTAATTTCACTGTCCTAGATTCTGAAGGTTTTAGTTAGGAATCTTTGTTCTGCCAACCAGGAGAAAAGGGGAAATGAGAACTGACTATCTGTTAGGGCATTGCATTATCTCATATTGTTTTAATATGCTGAGCAATTTTGAATGGCATAGTCTATTTAAATTAGGGAAGAGTAGTGCAGGCATTATCTTTTGTCTAGGATAATGTTTGCTCAGAAGGTAACTCCTATGATCAATAGCAATGGTCTCTTGTATCATTGCTATTGATTTTTCTCATTACAAAGAAGTAGAGAGAAGATTTGGAGGAGGAGAATCTTAAACTTTGAAAATGATAACTTTGCCTGTCATTTGGCTTTGGTTTTAATTTAGTGTTTGTATACATGAAGATAAGCATGTGCAAAATAAGGACACCAGAGTTGACAGTAAGGGCTAACTTGGGTAATAAGCAGGAACTACAACG